ACATCTACAACAACAACAACTACTACTACTACGACTACTACTACTACTACTACTACTACTACTACTACTACTACTACTACTACTACTACTACTACTACTACTACTACTACTACTACTACTACTACTACTACTACTACTACTACTACTACTACTACTACTACTACTACTACTACTACTACTACTACTACTACTACTACTACTACTACTACTACTACTACTACTACTACTACTACCACCACCACCACGACTACAGCAACTGCCCCTGGCGGTAGCACGAAGAGCAACACAAACAACCGTTGCAAAGACAAGAACAACAACAATGGTAATGGTGGCACTAACCCAAACAGCAACGACGACAAGTCAAAGAAAGACAGTATCGATGCCTGCTCCAACAACAGCACCGCATCGACAACTGCAAGCTCCACCACAGCAACGTCTGTCCCTTCGACAACACTGACAACAGGCGCGACCACAGCCACAGGCAACGCGACAAACACGAACGACAACAACCGGTACAAGGACAAGAACGACAACGAAGGCAATGGCGGCACCAACCCAAACAGCAACGACGACAAGTCAAAGAAAGACAGCCTCTCGACGACAGCTGTAACAACTGCGGCAGCCACTCCCGGCAAGGGGTGAACATCGCAGCTCTCCAACGTCCACTACAATGCAACCCTTTACTCATGCACACCGACTCGCTTCCCTTGTTTGCCTCTGCTTTGTTTTCCCGCATCCCAGCCAGCCAACCCACCAACAACGACTTGCATGTGTGTGTGTGTGTGTGTGTGTGTGTGTGTGTGTGTGTGTGTGTGTGTGTGTGTGTGTGTGTGGCTCCTCGTGAGCTCATGGTGATGTTCATGGTTTCACTATGTCGGTTTAACGCGACTCCCTTGCTTGCCTTCTTCTCGAACCCTCTCTCCTGCACACGCGCATGCTTCCTCCTGCGTGGCAATATCACACGCTCTCAACTCCACTCAAAGTGAACATTGAGCATGATGAGCGCGTGAGGAGAGGAAAAGCGTGGGTATGAGGTGGACGAGCGTTCAACCAGTTCTCTGTCATGCTCAGCACACCACAACACGCAGACGCAAGCACTATGGTTCATTGCTGTTGCTGTATTCGCTTGTTTGGCGGTGTGATTGCGCGGCGCTCAGTTGTGGTACTGTTGTTGTTGTTGTTGTTGTTGTTGTTGTTGTTGTTGTTGTTGTTGTTGTTGTTGTTGTTGTTGTTGTTGTTGTTGTTGTTGTTGTTGTTGTTGTTGTTGTTGTTGTTGTTGTTGTTGTTGTTGTTGTTGTTATCCTTATCATGGATAACTAACAAGTCGGCCTGTTGGCGGTGCCAATCACACAATGTCCTAGCCAGAACCTTCCATTCTTTCTTTCCATTGGATTGCAAACCAAGAAAGCCCTCATGCCTCTGTTGTGAAGTGTTCCCTTCTGTTTGTTAGTTGTTCTTACTTACTGCGGGAAGGGGATGGTGGGACAAAGAGCAAACTGTCTGCGTGGGCGTGGACGTAGGCGACGGAACGGGCTTGGGAGGGTAGTCTGTGAGTCTGCAGTGTGAGTGCACTCACTCCAGTCCTTCAGCTCAGCTCACCGTAGCGTGAGAGCAAGCAAGAAGCAGAGAAGCCACGAAACCACAACCAAACCCTGAAGCCTCCACTAACTAAGCCCTCTGTTGTTGTTGTCGAAGGTGGCAGCTGTGCACAGCGCGCGCGCAGGCAGGACTCGCGTCAGCCACTACATTTTTTGCTGTCGCATTTCAAGTACAACCCAAGCACACAACAACTCTAATCTCGCTCGACCTGAGATGGCCACGATGGTTGACACAGTCTCAGGTGGGTAGTGACTTGTCGTGTGTCATGCAAGTGCGTGTTTGGCACGTGTGTGGCGAGTGTGCATGCATGTTGTACAAGCGTTGATTGCCATGTTCAGTTGTTGACTGCTGTCGATCTCAGTTTCTTCTTTCTCACGACAGCGCTTTTGTTTTCTGTCCGATGGACTGACGTGTCGTGGCGATCCGGTCCTCGCTCGCGCCTGCTCAATGCTTCATCAGACCTCATCGGAGAAGCAGCCTTTGCCGACGACGAAGAAGAGCTGGAGTGGGTGCGCTCCGAGATTGCCTCAACCTCAAGCATCATCCAGGTGTGCGTGTGCGTGTGTGTGTGTGTGTGTGCGCGTGTGCGTGTGTGTGTGTGTGTGTGTGTGTGTGTGTGTGTGTGTGTGTGTGTGTGTGTGTGTGT